TTTTGATGTTAATTTACAAGTTCGGAGCGATGTCAGTGTGATTTCCACGTAAAAGCTACGGGAAAGCATGATTTGACTGCTCAAAATGACTTTCAGTCATGATTTTATGCAAATGCAAGGTGTTAATCATGAGTTGTTTGTTCAATCTCTACGTATGTTTATGTAATTTCGAGTTGATGATATAAGTGATAGCATGGAGCCACTTCAGGGGCACTCCATGAACTGGTCCAGCCCGATCGAGTGCAGGTGGCACGAGCTGGGGTGTTCATGAGAGGGGAGGGACTGTGCGTAAGTAGTAGTCCAGAGTTTTAAATCCGGTTTGGTCCCCGAAGACGAGGGTGGCCGGATTCACCTTAAACTAGTGGCAATCGCTCTTACCCCCTCCCTCCACTTTGCACGATTTAAAACATCCCTCATCCTCATCCCAACCTTCCCACTCTCCTCCTCCACTTGCATCTTCCACGTCTTCTTTGGCCTTCCCCTTTTCCTTGGACCACTCACCTCTAAATCAAGGGCCCTTCTTAATACATGCCCATCCTCCCTCCTCAGCACATGCCCATACCAACGTACCCCATTTGTCTTCGCCAACCGATCTACCGCTTCATTCAAACCCAACATCTGCATCAAGTTCTCAGTTAACTTTCTGTCCATCAACTTCACCCCACACATCACTCTCATCATCGCTCTCTCTGTCCTCTTAAAATACCCAGCTCATTTTCACTCAAACACCATGTCTCGCTCCCATACAGCAATGCTGATCTCACACAACTCTTATAAACTATTCCTTTCATCTCCAAGGGAAATCTCTTCCCATATACTGTAGTAGCTCTCCACATTCCCTAAACTTGACCCAAGCAAACCTTGCTCTAGCTGTCACAGCCGCCTCACACCCACCACCCACACTTACCTTGTCCCCCAGGTATGTAAACTCCTTCACTGACTCAACCTCATCACACAACTTTTCTTCCTGTTCCACCACCCTTCCAACTCCATTCTTACATCTTCCACACGCAAAATCCCTTGCCAATCTTTGGGTCACCCTCCTTTATCTTTGCACATCTCCCATGTATCCACTTCCCACATTTCACACACCACACTGAATTTACCTTTACCCATTCCAAACATTCCAATAACTTCCTTAGTGTATGTGCACAAAGAAAGACATTCGCGGTTACAGGGCTTGTAAACCTGCTCGATTCTTATTTTTCCAGTGGCAACAGAGATGAACTAGGTCAGTTACGAGAAAGGAAAAAAAGATAATTTTCACCCCATTGAAGATGAAAAGACAAACCAACTGTGGGTATCGACCTGGATTAGTTCATTGCTGCATGTGACAGGCCTGGTCGGTCATTTTTGGTAAAAAGTGATATTTTCGAATTTTTGTTGAAAACAGCAAGTCTGATTGCTTTAATACTGTACATATTGTTCATTTCTAATAAAATCTTCATTCTTTAATTGAAATGTGCATTGCTAACAGCAGAGCTATCTCAGCCGTCAGGCTGCATGTTTTGTTATCCTGTGACACACACAAACAGATCGACAAATATACATAAGCAGGAATGTATACTGGTAACTTAACAAAAGTAGCGAGTAATTCATTATTAGCTTGAAATCTACAGTGGTGTGTAACACAGTCCCTCTGCTAGAATTATATCTTTGTAGTTGTGTACAGTACATCTGTGCTTTTATTATACTAAATTAAGAATGACCTAGATTTTTTCTTAAACATACTGCATCAGCTGAACCTGTCACTCCAATATTGGGCCATTCCAGTTTATATCTGTGCACCCCCCCCCCCTACCCGCCCGTTGATGAGCTTGTGTTTACTTCATACCTGCATACAGGGTATAATTTCCATGGGTGTACAAGTCATACAAAGTTTTATTTCCAAATCACCATTCACCATACAGTAATGGAAATCCAAAATTATAGTTTCTACTTATGGTGTTGATGAGTTACATTGTGCCACCATACAGAGTAGAATTTCCAAATATAACTCATCATATGCTAATTTAGCAAGTTCAAAATTTCATATTTGATAATGGAAATCCAAACTAGTCCTGATTCACGGTGTTGATGAGCTCATTCGTGCCACCATCCTTATCTAATTTCAGTGCTGGAAATCCAACCACATCAACAGGGGGGTGCAGATATAAACTGGAATGGCCCATTGTTTCTCATCTGTTATTCTCTCAAATATTAGCCCCCGTTCAAAAAACAGGTACTTATGTTTTGACCCTTGTGCATCTGTGCGCGTGTCCAGACCTGTATCTTAGAAATGCCTGCACGAATCATAATCAAACTGCACACATACATCATACATGATATTATACATATGCACGTCAATTTATTTCACGATCTGATTCAAGATGGTCGAATGGCGGCCTTTTTTGTGCAAACATTTTGTTCAAACTTGGTATATACATTAGACATTATTGGGACCTTGATGCAAACACTTTTTTTTAGTCCCCGTTCGAACGTAGTCCGAAAACGGGGACTTATGATTTGCCCTGTGTGCGTCCGTGCGTCCGTGATCATCTGTATCTCAAACATGCATAGACCGATTAAGTTCAAACTTCACTCATACATCACACATTGTATGGGACATATGCACATGCATTTTTTTCATGATCCGATTAACGATAGCCGAATAGCTGCCATCTTAAGGCCGAAAATGCATCAAAATCGCACATTTTCACCATTCCGGACCCGGATCTCAGTTATGCATGGACGGATTTTGTTCAAATTTGGTACATACATTAAACATAATAGAACCTTGATGCACGTCATTTTTTTTTTTTGGATCGGGTTCGAAATGGCCGACTGGTGGCCATTTTGTTTTAAAGAATTCAGTTCTGGATCCGTATCTGAGACATGCTTGGATTGATCGAGTTCAAACTTCACACACACAAGGTACATCATGTCACAAATATGTATGTGCATTTGTTTCGTGGTCTGAGATTTCGGTCATGATCTGCTTTGAATGTACATGTCACTCAAATATGAACGGAACGGGGACGTGTCATTGACAATGACTTGTTCAGATTGGATTCAAAATGGCTGACTGGCGGCCATTTTGTTGTAATGAATGGGCTTCTAGACCCATATCTCTGACTTGCGTTGACTGATTATGTTCAAATTTTTAATATTCATTATACATCATGTCATAGATATACAGATATATTGGTTTGACTATCCTATTTAGAATGGCCGAATGGTGGCCATTTTTGTGCTAAAAAATCATCAAATATCAAGCATTTATGGATGGATTTCGTTCAAACTTGGTATATACATTAGACATTCGGGTTCCTGGTGCACGTCTATTTTATTTTTCAAATCTGATATAAAATGGCTGACTGGTGGCCATTTTGTTTTAATGAATGGGCTTCTAGAGCCATATCTCTGACATGCTTTGACTGATTATATTCGTTATAGATGTATACATGTATTCAAAATGGCTGATTTTGTTGTAATTAATGCTGTTCCATAGCAATATTTCCCAATATGGAGAAGTACTTGTTTGATGATACAAATTTCAATCATTTAATGTTAAACAATCATCATAATCATATTCCTGACATTGTTATAGTTTTGTTTATAGTAATATAGCTGGAATATATCTTAAATTTGATAACTAACGGGACTGTGCCATGCATGGCTTGTTTTATATGTTTTCAGTTCTCATTATGTAAAAAAAACTTTCCAAGCATGGTTATTTTTAGAGTGAAGACATTTTTTTTTTTTTTATTCAACCCATTATATTAGCCAGAAGAAATTGAATTTAACTGCCTTGTTATGTTTTCATTGATTAATGATATTATTTCACACATTACGATGATATATACTCAATAACAAGCATTCTACTTGTATTTATATAATACATACAGGTTGTACTGTTCTTCCCAAGACACATGGCTTTGTCCTTGTCATGAAAGCCTCGATTTCATTATAATCCTTCATTGAGTTCTAATTTAATATTTTGCCTGTTCTGAACAATTTTACTGGATTTTAAATTTTGTTGGGAGTTGTATTGTAGTTTTACATGTAATGTGGTTTTAATTCAGCAGATATCACTTATCAATAAAAATCATGGAATAGTGCCGTAGTGCCGTCGATTGTCTGGTGTCTCTTATATCTGTGTACATGTACATGTTGTATTATGTGCTCATTACAGATGATGAATAAATGAATGATACCCTGTCTACCGGTACCTATCATCTATGTAACCATGGAGATATTTGAAATGTAAATTCTCACACAAGATTTCTTTCCTTCTCGGTGTAAATTTCATTCATACATTTCAATCACAAGATTTTGCTGTTTGTTCATAAGGTCTACTGAAGTGTATTCAATAACCAGCCATGTATTGATTATTTAACATTACACTCTTATTTACCGGTAGTAGTAAAAACTAGTATTGTAACAACAACAACAAAATAATATATTGCTGCCATCTTCAATGGATAGACAGCTTTAGTTGTGGAAGCAACTGGTTGTTCTATTCAAACAATCACTTCTACATGTACATCTAATGGCTCGGTAAAAAATAAATATTCATGCCAGAAATTCAGAATTAAATCTTTGTAAAATCCATGCATGTCAGATCGCCATTAAAAAAATTGGCAAATGAAATGACATCAAAATCATTCTAATTTCATGTAAACAAACAATGTATATTGCATGTTTTGCATTTGTTGCAAGAAACTAATGTCATATGGCAACTGTGTCATGTACATGTACCGTGTCACAGTGTAAGGCCTGCTTATTGCTCACACTGCTAGTATGTTATAGACAAGACAATAGTACTGGAAATGAAATACACATACACCAAAATATTGAGTTCCTTGTTTTAATACCTCTCAAAATAATTACAAGAAACAAAGCACAGAAAAATACAAAAATACACTACAATGAATAAATTCACTAAAATGGGGATTGCCTAGGGAAATGTGCATTAGTGATAACTCACAGTTCCAGGATGTAGAAATGGATGACAGTCAATGGCTTCTGCAAAACAACGAGGAAATACAGGAGTCTTACTTGCAGAGGAACGTTGGTATTCTGGAGGGCACCATTGAAAACTGGAGATCGCATAGTAGTTCATACAAATCTCACAGACTGATGATTGAAGCCTGTATTAATATCGCAGCAGCAACTCACAGGGTACTGAGTTGAAAGGATGGACCCCAACTGTCCTCAGTCTAGCCTATTTATAGGCATAAATGGCCCAGATTCAGGGATACCACCTGGGTTTCCACATGAGCCAATTAGAATGTTGTCTTGCTAGCAGCTGTTTTACATAGGCAAGTCAGTAGATCATAAACATCTTTTGTTATGTAAATCACAAGCACACCTGGTAGAATCCAATTGTCCTTCCAAAGCTTTAAACATCCTTTGTTATTGAAATCACAAGCACATCAGGTAGATTCAAATTGCCTTCCAGAGTGGTAAACAAGTATGACCTGTCAATCACCTTTATGACAGTTATCACATGGCAATGCATACCATAATTTCTAGACAGTCGGGTGATTAATTTGTTTTTGTAATTTAAATAAAATAAAAAATTTCGCCAAATGGAGGTGTTAGCGCGAAATCACCCTGACTGGTTTATTCTGCAGGAAATTCATTGCTATTAAATATTATGCTATTAAATGTATGAATGCACATATTATAATGAGGTGGGCGCGGAAATACGTGCATAATGAGGTCAACATGATAAAGGTCACACTGCAGACCCAACATGGCGGCACATTGAAATTTGAGTTTGAGGCTGCAGCCGACGTCTTCTCAGTCAGATGTCAGTTGAAGAGACGTTGTGATTTGCTTAGATGATTGTCAA